TAGATTTGCATGTTGGTTCTGATCTGAATGTTTTGAACCGCAAACAGGGACGCTGTTTGATTTTCTTCATGGTATCAGAGTAACAGGGGTTTAATACAAATGCATACCAAAATTTTCCATGTAAAATCTTTAAAAAACTTTATTTCACTTCCACTTCACAGTTTTGTGTTGGTTTATGTCATAAACTCTGTTTATAGAAGACAATAGGCCTGTCACAATAAGTAATAAACCATTTAATCGCAAAATAAAACATTTTCTGCCAAAAACTGGAGGATAAAAGTCTGTAAACAAAACTGTCCTTTAAAAAAAGTAAAAGTAATAGTTGAGACCAAAACAGAGATGATAAATTAAACCTAGCTCAATAATTTCCATTTGCATGATTTATAGTTTTTCTCTCTTTCTACTAAGTCTCCAGTTTGATGTTCTGGTGTACACTAGCCCTTTTTTTTGAAGGACAGTTTGTTTACAGAGACTCCATAATTCATTTTATTTGTTGTTTCTCTTGTTTTGTTTATTTATTTTGGATATTTAAAATATCCTCCAGTTCCAGTGTTAAATATTCACTAGATTTATTTACCTTTTAGAATGTGTTCTTGCATTTTTAGGTCATTATTACCATTATATTACTTGAAAATGGTCTCAAAACAACAATATTATCGTTTATCGCAATAACTTCTGGGATCATTTATCGTCCAGTAAAATTTGTTATTATGACAGGCCTAGTTGGTTTATTTTTACAGATTCGATTATTTTCAGGTTCTTTAAAGTTATGTGGAAACCAGCTCCACCAGACTCATCACAAAGCTTTTGCTGATGTTGGATTCTGCATCACAGCGTTCAGGTTGGCCCAGCAGAACCTGATGTTAGAATTAAACATCACATTATGGGAAATTTTTCCACTCAGGGCTGATTTTTTGAGTGCGGTTCACCGTTCTACGGCTGGCGGGTCGACTGTGGCTGCAGCCGCTGAACTTTGCCTGAAGCTGCCTGAAGCGATTGGGTCGGCAGAGTCGGTGTCCTCTTTTAAATGTCTCAGAACCAGAAAGCCTGTCCTCAGTTAACCTCACGCTGCTGATGCTGTTTGATTCCTACGACCCAGAATGCCTCACTGCCCTTACTAACCATTGATCTGATTGATTTCGTAATGTTTTTGTTGGGTGAATTTGTGAAGTGATTTAAAGTAGATAACGTGTTTCTTCTGGGCGGAAATAATCTGACTGAACAATTTTTTTTTATTAAAGCTGCAGCAGCTGTAACTTTTACTTAAATTTTTTTTACATCTTCGTTAAAACCATGTTGTGACAGAATGAGACAAATAATCTGTAAAAAGATCAACCTCCTCCCTGAGCTAATGCAACCGCCTTAAGAAATGATTCGCTCCTGACCAAAAGCAGCCAGTCAGAGCAAAGAGGAGGGTCTTAACGCTGCTAATCAACTTCATGTACTCGCTGTTAAATGTGCTAATGGCGGAGAAACAACCCACCATTACAGAAAAACCATTTTTTTTTGCCATGTTAACTAGCTTTAGCATTCACAAAAGGCTCTGCTAGCTGCTAGCAGTGCCACATAGAGGATGATTGACAGCGCTAAGACCCGCCTCCTGGCTCTGATTGGTTGTTTCTAGTTAACACTGAGACAAGGCAAAGGAGAACGATTTTTTTCATATTATCTGTCTCATGCGATACTGTTATGACATAGTGACAGTTTCGACAAGTTACAGACCACAGATTTAAAATATAAGTATATATATTTATGACACACTTATACATTGTCCTATAATTTTTTGAGAGATGTCTGTGCCACTTTAAAATAGTTTTGCATCAAAATCTGCCAGGCTATTAATTCTTTTGGACATCAGAGTGTGACCAATCTGGTGATCAGCAAGAGGAGTTACCAGGAGTTTTCTACTGAGGCTGTTGTTTGTTAATTAATAAACTTTAATATCGCTGACGCGTCTCGTTTCATCAAACTTTAGTCATTTGAGAAACAAAACAGACTCAACTCTGCAGCTCAATGTAGAAATCTGGGAACATTTAAAGGGAAATATCAGCCTGAACTTTGTGATGCAGAATTGTTCTTGCCTCCCTTCAGTGACATGCAGGAGACAATGAGCATGCAACAACGAACATCTGCATGAAAATATCCAGCATTGTTTTCACATTAAGCTGTGAGTCTAAATCCAGTCCTGAGAGCTACAACTTTTAGATGCATTCCTTCTCCAAAACACCTGAACTACATGAATGTGTTGTTATCAGGCCCCTGCAGAGTTGAAAGGTCATCTAGAGGTTGGCGCATAGCAACTCTCAGGACTGGAGTCGGAGATCAAACTGAGCAGATTTAAATCTTTCTTCCAAACATTAAGTCATTTATTTACACTTTTTTATGTGGATTGCATAAATTGATCAGTCAGTATTGGACTGGTTCTTAAAGTTTCTGCCTTTGCTCACAGTTTGGATCCAGAATATAAAGCCAAAGTTTATCTATTAAAGTGCTAAAACACACAAATATTCCCTGAATGAGATAAATTCACTTAAATATTTGTTTTTCAAAGATGGCATGTAGAAAATGTTTCTGACCCGTTTTTATTTGGATTTTGGCTGCAAATTGAGCTCTTAGGGAAAATATCCGACGCGACGCTGCTCAGCGGCGCACCGAACGCTTGGTTTGTTTCGTAACACTGATTTAAGGAGGACTCTGCAGCTATGAGGAAACGGAGGAGCTCCACGTCTGGCTCTGGGAGAGCAGCATGTGAGGTCCCTGATCGCCCAGAGGGAGGGAGTCCTGTTCCCTGAAACAAACTGACGTTGGCCTCTCTCCGCTTTGCTCGGGGTCGTGACAAATGGAAAAAAGCAAGACCGCGTGAGGGCATTTACCAGCTCAGTGTTTCAGAGACAAAGTGCATGCAGAAGGAGGATGGTAGCAGAGCAGATTGCATAGAAGTAACCGTTGCTGCCAGAGCTTGTGGTCTGTTCTTACTGCGATGATTAGTTTTATAAATAAAATCCGGAGCAGTGCAGAGGAAGACGTGCGTGTGTGCAGCTGGATGGTGCGTGCGCTGGCTTACGACCTCTCGGTTCATCCGCTGAGAGGATGCAGGTCCACCTTGACTTTCTCACCGCTGCTCAGCATCCCCACGGTGGGGTACAGACCCCCAGGCGGGACCACCATCTCCCGTCGACCCATCAGCTTCCCGTTCCTGGTGAAAAACACCTAGAGGAGAGCAGAGGCATAGCAGTGAGAATAAACACACAAACCACTAGCAGGAGTGGAAATTAGCACTCACCACTGGCCAAATGTTGTTAATATGATGAATCCACAATACAGATCAACAATCTGCACTTAAGAACCAGGTTCAATTTAAAACTTAGCTTACCTGTTACAAGCTAAGTAAGTCATATCAGAACAGAAAGGAGATGAGCTAACGTTAGCCTAGCTTACCCCTGTGAGAAGCTAAATAATCAACAAGTCATATCAAAACAGAGAGGCGCTAATGTTAGCCTAGCCTACCCCTCTTCAGTGATGAATAATCAACAAGTCATATCAAAACAAAGAGGGGAAGAAAGGAGCTAATGTTAGCCTAGCTCATTCCTGTTCAGTGATGAATGGTCAACAAGTCATATCAAAACAAAGAGGGGAAGAAAGGAGCTAATGTTAGCCTAGCTCATTCCTGTTCAGTGATGAATGGTCAACAAGTCATATCAAAACAAGGGAGCTACCATTTTTGCAGGTTAATATCAGTCCCAATGATTCTTGTTTGTCAGATTAAAAGTGCCTTTCGAAAATACCAACCTTTTAAGCAGATTTTAAAAATAGATTTATTTGTTGGTCTGATGCTAATGCTAATTTTAATATCATGTTGTCATCACCTGTAAAGGTAAAATCATCATAGCTAACAGCGATAAAGGCTTTCAAATATCCATCTATGTGTAACTAATCTATATTATGTGTTTCGTTTTTTAATAAAGGTTCTGAAATAAATGGTCTTTAAATAATATTTTTTGAGTGGACATGTCTTGTATATATAAACACAAAACTAACTTTTTTGGACACGCTTTAACAAAATAGTTATATTTGCACTTGTTCTTGTTGTTTGAAGCGATGCACAACATCCTGAAACATATGCAGATATATAAGCTGGCGACCAAACCATGGTTGCCTTGATGTAGAATGTTTCCTAATTTTTTCCACAGAATTAGGAATAAATGACTACAGGATTTTATTTAATTAGAAAATCTAGATTTTGGGCTAACAGGAACAAATATTTCATTATTTGGCTCCTGTTAACAGAAGATTCAAGGCTGATTCACTGATGTTAGATGGACAGGAAGATGGATGGATAACGGCTGAAGAGATGGAAAAATGGACAGGAGAACAGGTTTATGATGGATTCACACATAACTTGGAAGGACAAATGGACAGGTCACTGACGGATGGATGGCTACTGATATCAAGAAAAGATGGACAACTGCTTAAGTTGTTTAAATAGTTGGAAGAAAATGTTCATTTCCACCCCTAACTCAAGCTTTCATTGATGGTAAAACCACTGAAGGGACAAAAGGAAAGAGAAAATCTTTCTGCCAGAGAGCGCTCGGTTCAGCAACCAGGAATTATGCGCAATTAGGAAATATGGTTGAACAAATAGGTGAGAGTGTAACGTCTGTCGTCTTGAGGGGGAGAAAGTCAATGTTTACAGAACATGTCTCCACTAAATCAGCGACTGATCAAACATGATCCAGCTGTTCCCCGAAGAACATCGTCGCAGCTTTTCAACGCTAATACGGCCGGCTTCTCTCCAAAGTCTGGGCTCAAACAGCGGCACTAAAACAACAACGTGGAGTACCGCCGAGTGTGCGTCTTTGATAAATGAGACTGAGTCACATATCAAACATGAACTGTGCCACCCACTCCAACCTGTTTAATTACACGCCAGAGAAACGCAGGTCATTAGCTTGAACAACAGCAGAACAGTGCGTGCCGTGCCACTGCACTGGGACTAATGTGTCCTGCTGAATAAATAAGGACAAATCCCTGGATTATATCCTGGCCCGTTCTGCTCTCTCACCCAGCTGGGTTTCGGTCGGCCTCGCCGCCTCTCACTGACCCCCCCGGTCTCCGCTTGCACAAGTGTGCAGGCGAGTCTAGACAAAGTCAGAACCTCTGCGTTCAAAACTCCAGCAGCCCCGGGTTCGTTGGAGGATTTGACTGCACAGCAGCGGCATCCAAAGATTCAGCCATTAGTGCCAAAATAAGGTAACACTTTCTTTGAAGGAGTGCATAAGACTGACATGACATAAACATGAGATAACACCAGACATGAACATGAAGGAGTCTTCATGAATGGGTCTAACTGTTGTCAATAAGAAGTATTTGGTAAATAATGACACTTTTAATTATACTTTGCATTAAAATTTCCATTAAATTATTTATAAAATAATGCAAAGCCGACACTGTTACTGCAACTTTTAATGCAACCATCATTAAAAGCTGCAATATTTACAGAAATATCAAAGTTGACATTTTTAGAGTAATTCTTAGTTCAAGTTTTAAATAAACTTTGCATTAGAAGTGTCATTATTTACCAAATGATGCTTCCTGACAACAGTCAAACATTCACAAAGGCTTCTTCATGTTTATAACAGCTGTTATGTTTATGATGGTGTCATGTCAGTCTTATGCAAACCTCTTCAAATAAATAAATAAAGTCAGAACCGCTGCGCTTTAAACCTCCATCAACCCGGAGCTCGTTGGAGGATTTGACCGTAAAGCAGTGGTATCTAAACTTTTTGTCGTTGGGGCCAAAACTGTAAAGTGGAGAAAACATGAGGGCCACTTTTTTTTTTTTTATTAAAACTGAAAGGTTTTATTTCTGAAGATATTTGTTGTTTTTATTTCTTCAAAAATAAATGGACAATATTTTGATAAAGATATAGAGGGCATTATAAATAAAATCTACTATTAAAGCAAAGTAGTCTAATTTTTGTGGAAAAGGAATCTAAATCATTGTTGATCAAAGTATAAACAGCCTTGAACAGCTGATGAATTAAATCACAGGTAAATATCTTCCTAAACTTTATGGGGGTTTATTAGCCGTGTTTGTTTGTTTGTTTTTGGCAACAAAAGTTGGGCAGCACTTGCTGGTTTTAGCAAAGTGTAATCAAAGAAAACAGAAACATGGTTAATAAAATAAAAATACTTGTATCTAAATAAATAAACATTCAAAGATTTTATTTAATTTCTTGAATTGTGGACCTAGGAGCCAAACAAAATCCTCCTTAAATGGCCCCAGGACCACACTTCGGAAATCCCTGCTGTGAAGAAACCTGCAGAGCGCCAGGTCTGGTGAACTGGTGAGTCCAACAAAGATCCAGGTTGCATTAAAATGTGAAAGTAGGCATTGTGCTGCAGTTCTGGCCTCCAGGCTCATATGAAATAATTGGTGCGGTCCTGCTGAGCTCTGCGGTGGTGCCAGGAAGTCGACAGGTTAAAGGTGCCTCGTGAAGGTTTTTAAAGCTGTGCTCAGGAGAACGGGCTCTGTTCCTGGATCAGGCACAACGCAGCAAATGGTCAACAGGTGGCGCCAAAGAAAGGCAGCAAACTGCTCATCATCCCCCTCTTTCAAGCTCTACCACAGGCCAAGAGTTTAAAAAACTGAACAAATTGCTTCCCAAATAAAATACATAAATTAAATTTGAAGAAGGGCCAGCAAAGGCTGGACTTTCCTGCAGTAACTCAAAAAGTACAAACTGCTCATTTCCATCTTTCCTGTGTGGTTTGGCTCGACCACCGGACAGGTTTGTCCAGGTTTTCCTGGCACTCAGGAGACCCAGAACTCGCTCGGTGAATCCTTTCTGGTGAACACCTTGAGATGATTCCCCCACTGGCAGGTCGCACTCTAAACGGTTAATGTACGGTTCGGTTCTGCTCAGAGGAGGGCAGAGAACCCAAAAATTACTCAAGAGCAGCACTACTTCAACATATTTTTACTCAAGTAAAAAGTAAAATGTAGCCGTCAAAGAAATTACTCAAGTCAGAGTAAAAAAGCATTTGGTAAAAAGTTTACTCAAGTACTGACAAAATTATCAGTCATTTATTATTTAAAACTTACATCATCAGATGGACCAAAATATCAAGTTAAGTGGAAATTTTGGACCAAAATGACAATTTATATAGGTAACAAAAAACAACAAAATCAGGCAAAAGAAAATGTTTCCAAATTTGTTTCTTTAAGAAATAAACTTATGAACCTTTAACAAAAACTGCAGGTGTGTGTCTGTGATTTTTGGTTAAATTGTGTTGTTTTCCATTCAGTGGGTAGAAAACCCAGAAATTAACTTAAGAGTAGAAATACTTCCTAATTAAATTATTCAAGTAAAAGTAAAAAGCACAGTAAAAAATGCATTTTTCAAAACAGTAACTCAAGTAAATGTAATTGTGTAAATGTAACTAGTTACTTCTCAGCTCCGGTTCTGCTCCAGTGATGAGCGTCTCCATTACGGTCTGTTCGTCATCAGAGCCAGGGACTCTGACGATGTTTGCAGCAAACCTCAGTAATGAAGAACCTCAGGGTTCTGGTTCTGATGGACTCAAACCCAGATTTTTCATTTTTGTCTTGTAGAAATTCATGCCTGAGTGAAGTTGCCCCCCATTTTTTTCAAATCTAACAACATTGGTGTCAAACGCTTGTGCAGAAAAATGCTTTTGTTTTAAAGATCAAAATCCTCAAAGTAAAAGCAGCAAAAATCTTTGCTGCACAAACCAGGGCCTGGTTGACCTTTTGACCTTTGAACTTTCATTAATATCTTCAAAACTTCAAGACCGGACCGAACTGGATTGGACCAAACAGACCAGGTTAGAGGCGGTCTAAAGAAAAAAATCCTGAAGAAGAATTGAAATGAAACTAAAAAAAAAAAAAAAAAGAAAAAACCTAGGGAAAGAGGGAGGGAGAGACGGACGGACGGACGGACGGACGGACGGACGGACGGACGGACGGAGGGGCGGATGGACAAAAAGCTGATGTTTTTGAATTAAAACCAGTTGTGATCTCATCAGTCTGTCTCTTTCTGTGGATCTAACATTTGCTGCGATTCAGACTGTTTTCCAATTAATTAGCTACATTTATTATGGACCTTCTCCTCAGAGTTGAGCTCATGTTTAATATTCTGTGGTCCGGATGTTTGGGGATGAAAATATGAGACCACGGTTAACCGGTAAAAATAATTTTAGCCATCCTAGAATTGGTATATTTTCACATTTTCAAGCTGGAGTTTGTATTTGTGGCATGAAATCTGACTGAAGTCAAATAAAAGCTGTTTTTTTTAATTAAGTGTAAACCCTCAGAGAGCAGATTTTATTACCTGGACACACCATTGTTCTGTGTCTCACCACAGGAACATTTCCTTCTCAGAACGTGTAGCTGCTTGTGTTTCTCAGAATTAGAGGCGCTACAATGAGAGGAACAGCCTCCAGTTTCAGGGTTCCTTCCTGCTCAACCAGCAGCCAGTTTTGGAGATGAACTCTGATAAAGTCTCCATAACATCCACACTGTTGTGGAGATAGCATTACTTGAGTTCATTATGGTTAGTAAAAACATCACCTTCAGCATTTCAGTCATGATTAGGCATGAACTTTGACTGGGCCATTGCAACATGTTGATTATTACCCGTTTCTCCGTCCACTGGACGTTGTTGTTCCAGAAGACATGTGGGTCATCCAGATGTATCTCTGCAAGCTTAAAGACGCACTGTTTCTTTTTCAGCTCCAATAAGAATCACTTGCTTAGTCATCGACTTGTTGACTTATCATAAACTTTAACATCTAAATACTTCAAAATTGAGCTTTTTCCAAAATACTTATGGAAAAGGTCCATAAAAAGTTGTTTTTTTTTGTTGCCAAAACAAATCGGAGAGCAGCTGGAAATCCTAATAATTATCATCATCTGGGTCACTTCTATGAACCAAAGGCTTTAACATTTAATTTGTTGTGTATTCATCACAAGCCATGCTGTTAAACTCACAGTTGCCTCCTTTTTAAAACGTGTTTATTTTATTTTTGTTGTTAGTCATTCTCTTGTCTAATTGGTTATTTATTTTATAGATAAATACCTGTTGTTTTTGTTAGCCTAATTTGTTTGTTTTATATGCACTAATTTGTGAATAAATTAAAATGTAAAAATATTTTTAAAAAACACAGAACTACTAAATAACTTATGGAAAAAAGCTATCATTTTTTTTTTCTCCAGAAGTTGCTGCTTGGTTATGAGCTTTTTGTGTCATTTTTATAAATGGTATTTATTTTGCAATTGGAAAAAAAAAACATAGAACTACTAATTAACAGACAAATGAAATACAGAAGTATAAAATAGCAAAAAAAAGTAAAAATAAACATACAGAACTACTATAAATAAAATCGAAAAAAAAACTACAATTAATTTTTTTCTGTAGAAGTTTCTGATTGATTGTGAGCTTTTTGTGTAGCTTTTATAAATGGTATTTATTGTGCAATAGAAAAAAAACATACACAAAAGAAACAAAAAGAGACATACAAAAATACTAAATAACTAACAAAAAAAATAATTCTCCATAAGTTGCAGTTTGAGTTTTTTTGTGTAGTTGGCTTGGTGTGTTTTATAAATTGTATTTATTTTGTTTGCATTAGAAAAAAAAAACAAAACAAACTCACCGTCACCTTCTTTCCCTGCTGTTCCTGAGCGACTTCGTCCCCTTCCTCCTCTTCCTCGTCTTCACCGTTAAGATACAGAACGTTCTGGACGCCATCTTGACTGGGTCTGGCCTCCAGCCGACCCAAGTCTTCCACGTCAGCTGAACACAAAATGGAGAGTTAAATAACCAAGAGTCAGTAAAACCAGAGATTAAGTAAGAAAAAAAACTGTACAGAAAATTAAAGATATTGACGAATCTCACAACTCTGAAGGCTTCAAGTAGCTAGTGTTGGATGTTTTACACCCCAAAGCAAACGGCAGCAGACGGATTCAGAGTAAAAGAGAAACCAGAGTAATTCCTGGTACCTGAACCGTCTCCGTCCAGGCTGTAATCACGTGGGAACATGATGCCGCACCCCATGATGTCCCCTTTGAAGCAGCGGGGCCCGAAAGCATCTCCGACTCCGATGCCGTAGAAGATCTTCCCATCATCTGTCAAAGACACGTGTCTGATTAATTCAGGATCACCTGATCACACTTTCATTTCAGGTCATTTAAGCCCATTAACTTTCCACATTTTGTCAAACCTCCACCACAAAAATCTATGTATTTTATTTGGACTTCACATGACTTTACAACACATCAGCCTTCCACTGACAAGCAATGATCAACCATACGCTAAAGGAATGTTATGGTTTTGCATTTTAGGCAATAACATTTTTATTTCTTATCTTAAAATATGAATTGAAATATTTCTTTATTTGCATCTTTTACTGTATTCTAATAGTGTGTAAAAAGGTGGTTAAATTAAAAATCTGTAGAATGTGCCAATCTTTTAACAGATTAATTGATTAATCAGAATAATTGATTGGAAAAACAAGTGTTAGATCTCACTTTGCCAACTTTTTGGTTGTAAAAAAAATGTGTATGAAAAGTTTAAATGGTTTAAATGAAAAATCTGAAGAATTTAATCAATTTAATTTTTAAAAACTGATTAATGGCTTAATCGCCAGAATAATTGATTACAAAAACACGCTCTTCTAACTTTTTTGGTTGTAGCAAAATGTGAAAATGTTCTTGAAGATTAAATACTTTTGCAGGACAAAATAAATCTCAAAAACTGCAGAAATGTTTGCATGACACAAAAAGAAAAACACCTCAAGAAGGAAGGTACTGTACGTATTTCATATTTTACTCTTTCACAATCATGTTCAGATCTTTGCAATTTTCCACATCAGGTTCAACCCACTGGGAATGTGACATCCAGAACATCCCGGCATTCCACTCAGGCAATGATGAGCAAAAGCCAGAAGAAGCAGGGCTTGTTAAAACAGTCAAGTACAACCAAAATAAAAAGACATCGAGAACATTAAAAGAAAATCATCAAAACAACACATCCTACAGTCGTTAGAGACAACAAAGGAGCAAAAAAGAAGAAAAACATTGCAGAGATAGCCTGCAGACAAATGCTCCTCAAGCAGAGCGGGATGGCTGCTGCTTGTAAATATTTATGGAGTTGTCATGGGATCCATCCCCAGCTCAGGATACTGTTTAAACAGCCTCTATCGGAGCACCGGGAGCCAGACAGACACTGTATCATTACAGCTCCCATGCGGGCCCTTGTAACAACAAAGCGCACAAGGCAAACAGAGGGGGCACAGCCCAGCAAGGCTAAAAATACGAGGCCTTTTTGGAGCGCGACAAGGACTGAAACTGGAAGTGAGGATGCAGAGATCCAGGTTTGGGTCTGGATGGTGGGAAGTAATGGGGCAGCAAACGTAGGACGAGCAGGCAAACGTGATCAGATGTCACAGAAGAAGAAATAATTGCCTCTTAAACCAGATGAATCAGAAAAGAGCAATTAGAAGAGATGTGTTCTGGGGTCAGACCACCCAGAACAGAGGTTTAATCAGTATTTTAAATGTTTTTTTTTTCATGTTATTGATGCCCTACTTTGTGGCTATAGGGTTCCTTTTTACTAACACTCATGTTTAGAAGGATTGTTTCTATCTCTGTTGATCCCATTCTGGATACATTTTTATTTCTCAGGTTCCGGGGATTCTGTGTTCAGGTGTGTCTCCTGGTCAAAAACCCAGTTTTTCTTTCTCGTAGAAAGTACTCAAAGCCCAGTGCTTCTGGGTTTTCTCTCTCTTCTTTCTGTTTTTAGACTCTAATCTAGTCGGAGCAGATGGCTGATCAAAACCAAGCTCGGTGCTAGTTCTGCTGGACTGGTTAAAAGGGACTGGTTCTTCTCCACAGTTGCCAAAAGCATCCAATGACATTGGCTGGGCTTCCTTAGATGTTTTACTACTTGATCAACTGAATTTAACTATACGGTACTGGACATGATTCTACCAATATCACTGGAACATAAAGGAAAGATTCAGGGTAAATTCACACCAGCCCTGTTTAGTCTGCTTAATCAAACTCTAGAAAGTCTGGTTTGTTTGGGCAAGTGTGGATGTGTAATTGATTAAAAAAAAGCTAACTGTGGTCTGCCTAAAAACCTCGGTCTCAGTTTGGTTGAAATGAACCCTGGTGCGATTTGATCGCCTATGTCAATGCCAACCAGACCAGAGACCACTCCAAAGGCAAGAAGTAGACTAAAGTGTAGCGCAGTGGTGCCCAAAGTCTGTCCTCGAGGGCCGGCAACCTGCATGTTTTAGTTCTCTCCCTGGTTTAATGCACCTGGATCCAAAGAGGGCTCAGTAGAAGGCCTAGAAGAGAACCGACATGCTGAAAAGCTTTATACTACCACCAGGGAGAGAACTAAAACATTCAGGATGCCAGCCCTCAAGGACCCACCTTGGGCACCCCTAGTGTAGGGCATTCTGGGTAAGTACAACCAAAACAAACATGCTAGCTTGGTGCTAGCAGAAGGTACTGCTTGTTGTCTTTTACCAAAGACAAAAGAGAAATCCTACAACCTCAAAACCACGTCGTTCTCGCTCTCTGTATCAGCCCAGC